TTAGTAAACACCAGTGTTTCACAATCTATTTTTTGTTAATTATTATTTTATTAATCTTTTAAGAGACAGGGTCTCATTCTGTCACCCAGGCTGGAGTGCAGTGGTGCGATCATAGCTCACTGCAGCCTTGAGCTCCTGGGTTCAGGTGATTCTTCCTCCTAAGCCTCCCCAGTAGCTGGGATTACAGGTGCATGCCACCATACCCAGCTAATTTGTTTATTTTGTTTTTGTAGAGATGGGATCTCACTGTTTTCCAGGCTGGTCTGAACTCCTGGCCTCAAGCGATCCTCCTGCCTCAGCTTCTGAAAATGTTGGGATTACAGGTGTGAGCCATTGCACCTTATTTTTTGTTAATTATATTACTACACATGTTCAGTTCATTATGGATACTTCTTACCGGATATCCAATCAGGTAGGGCTACCAAATTGGTAGTTATCATATCCTAAAATTTAGGCCATCATTTTTCTTGGATCAATGACTTTCTATCTCCTTCAGAGCCTTACTTTACCCATCTACCCAATCTCTTATAATCAGGAGAGCTCTGACTACATATAGACTATGTATTTCTGTTTCTACCCAAGATGGAAAAAGTGTAACTATTAGACACATTGCATTGCACATCAGCCAAGGAGGTGGTCTTACACATTCTAATAAAAGGGTTTGTGTATTCAACTTAATAGCTAAAACATTACCAATAATAATATATATGTGTACTCTTCCTTGATCGACCTATTCCTTAACATTAGATTTTTAAACAAATCCCTTCTGGGTGCCAGCTTACTGCTAAATCAAGGCAAACAATTATTTCCAACATTTTGTTATCATATTTTAAAGTAATTATTTGCTTTATTAGGATGGGAACTCTGGCTGTACCCTCTCACTCCCTGGCCCCAGATTTAACACAGCATTTATTTCACAATATTTGTGCAGGGCTTTATTGAACCAGGGGACACACCCATGAGTAACATTGATTTCTCTTGGTGGTGACCCAGCCGGAGCATGTCAAAATGAGTACCTATCTATTCTATTAAGATAATGGAGGAAAAGAGAAGCATGCCATCAAGATAAAGGAACACAAACTACCACATTACCTTGAAAACAAATCTGAGTATTTGTTGTGTGTGAACACATTATCAGTGTTGCTTGTGCAAGAAACAAGGCTTTTGAGCTGGAAGGCAATTTCAAAAGACAACACCTGTTTCAAAATAGGGCAAAGAGTTCACAGCTGCATTTTGAAATTTCAGTGTGCACTTTTATTTCGGGATGTTATCCATATAGGCTTAGGAGATGTAAAGACGGAACACCACAAGAGGACAGATGCGCATGAATCAAGAAATTCTATTTCCTATTTAAAATTCAGAAAAGATTGTTGCTACATACACTAGGTTGTTAACTGGGTACACTGATCAGAGCTTCGATAACCCAAGTAAGTGGCAAGGTGTTGATACACTTGCAGAGTATCAACTGAGCCTAGCTGACAGTATCTAAAAATGTCCTGAGCCTAGCCCATAGTATCTAAAAATGAGATGGGAAGAGCAAGCACTCCACTATCTATGGAGGACAAACACCGCCCTCTACTGGCAGACTGTAACTGCTATATAGTCAATATGATGAACATTTTCCTCAACAGTCACTATCATGAGACATAATCAGAAAACAAAAGCTTTTAAATAATTTGAGGTTTTGTAACTAGGGGTTACCAGGATTTTCAAGCAAACTGAAATATTCAATGAGAAATCTCCTTACTCAATGGTTTCCGATTTTTCCCATTAAATCTTTGATGTAACTCATTGGACTGGTTCAAGTATCACTGTTACTGGGAGATGTGAGAGAACAGCAAAATGCTCAAAAGCTCAATACCAGGAAGAAGGTTTAACAGACCCATTTATACCAAATGGAGCTGGCTTTAGAACGAACAACTGTGATAACTTAAAGCACACAGAACTGATTCAAACCCTTGTTGTACTACATACTAGCTACATCAGGTGCCACATCAAACCTCAAACTGAACCCGATTATTTTTTACAAAATTGGAAGAACAAACACTTGCTGAACTCACACTGTTGGAAAAATTAAATGTAATATGTGTTGCACAACTACAGTGTAGTACTCCATACCAATGTTCATGGATAGGAGTCTAGGTAGCTCCAAGTTGTGTTTTACCTCTCTTTATCTGTTTATCCACTTGTTGGTTTTTGAAATTCTTTAAATCAGACTGCATTTTTCTTCAGCACTGTCCTGAAACATAAAATTGTCTATGTCATCCATAAAATACCTAAGGATTATGAGGAAAAGTAGATGGTTAATGTTCATCCAAAGTCAACGTTAACCTGAGACAACTGAAATAAATGTATGTGGGTAGGGTGCTTGCACCTGTAATCTCAGCTACTCATAATCTGAGCTACTGGGGAAGCTGAAGCAGGAGGATACCTTGAGCCCAGGAATTTGAGACCAGCCCAGACAACATAGCAAGACTCTCATATCTCTATAAAAGAAAAAAATGGCTGGGAGGGGTGGCTAACACCTATAATCCTAGAACTTTGGGAGGCCGAGGTGGGCAGATCACTTGAGGTCAGGAGTTCGAGAGCAGCCTGGCCAACATAGTGAAACCCCGTCTCTACTAAAAGTACAAAAATTAGCCAGGTGTGGTGGCATATGCCTGTAATCCCAGCTACTTGGGAGGCTGAGGCAGGAAAATTGCTTGAACCTGGGAGGTGGAGTTTGCAGTGAGCTGAGATTGCACCACTGCACTCTAGCCTGGGTGACAGAGTGAGACTCCATTTCAAAAAAATATAAAAAATGAAAAATAAGGCCAGGTGCAGTGGCTAACGTCTGTAATCCCAGCACTTTGGGAGGCCAGGAGTTAGAGACCAGCCTGGCCAACATGGTGAAACCCCATCTCTACTAAAAATACAAGAATTAGCCGGGTGTGGTGGCAGGCGCCTGTAATCCCAGATACTTGGGAGGCTGAGGCAGAAGAATCGCTTGAACCCAGGAGGCGGAGGTTGCAGTGAGCCGAGATCATGCCATTGCACTCCAGCCTGGGCGACAAAAGCAAGACTCCGTCTCAAAAAAAAAAAAAAAAAAGTAAAGTTAGCTAGAAGCATTTAATTTCAAAGCCAAATTTACATTTAAATTATAGTATTTAGCTGACAAGGCAAGTATGTAAACAAGAGGAAAAGTTGAAAAGAAAAAAGCCCTAATAGCTACAATATCAGCCCTGTTCTAAAGAGGGATCTTGTACCACATTCTCCACCTAAGGAGTAATCTTTAATTCAAAATTCAGTGTAGTTCTTATGGGTATTTGGAATTGAATCCAAGTGTGTTTTTGAGTATAAACATTATCTTTTATTATATATGATTGTTAAACTTTGCTTTCCACAACACTTCATAACCTTGGATGTAAACATGAGAAAAAACGCTAATTAAGAATCCTTATGCACCCAGTCCAGTGCTCCCTTAATCAATCAGAAACTGGTAAATCCACTGCTTCTTGATTCCATCCTGAGGTATTGACTTTTGAACCAAGACATGCTTATCTTTTACCAACAACAGGGAGGGTCACAAAGTTTCTAAATAATTTATTAGGGAAATAAGTTCCCCCAAAGTCAGGCTGGACTGAGAGCTGATCATCAAAGCTGTGTAAGTTAGTGTGTTTGCTTTAAAGTATTACAAGAAGTACACAGAGCACACATCTGGGTTATAAAAGCCCTTTTATAAAGCCATTTTTAAACAAAACAAAAAAAAAGTTTACAAAAGAAAAAAGATACAGAAAAAGAATAACTTGCTTCATATGTCCCAAAAAGAGAAAAAAATAAAGGGGACTATGCCAACATGCTCAACAATAAAGGGTTCTTTTTCTTATTTTTTTTAATACAAAATACAAGCAAAGGATACACATACTTAAAACAGAGCTCAGGAGCAGACACGCAGTCCTGGAAACCCTTCAATAAAAGCAAAGCAGGAGTTTGTTTTTTCTTTGTCTATGCAGATACATACAGAGACTGGGATATGTAAAAATTAAGGATCACAAAAGACCATCACACGATTCTACCAATGCATGTTGCATCTATAATTCACGAACATGGTCAACAAAATCATGTTCACTTCAACCTCATTTCATTTAAATTAAAGAAAAAAACCCTTTAAATAAAGTGGTTACATTCAAACTTTAACTTCCTTAGTACCATGCTGCAGATTTCAGCACTGTTAAGGTATTGCAAGAACGCCCAACCCTCTGGTGTCTGATCATGTATCCAGCAACATTGCAGTATGAAGAAAAGAGATGCCCCGGTCTCAGCCCATGGACTAGTTAATACAGTAAAGCAGGTTCCTGTCTTTTACCCTTCCTGCTCAGAACATAAAAGATTAAGGACTAAAATCAAGCAACTGGGAGTTTTAGAGCTGGCAAAATGAAGTCTAAAAGATAAATCAAGGCAACCAATTACTGAGAACCTGGCTGTTGCTTAACCTGGCAAGTCTAAGTCTTTCTTTAACCTTGTAGGAATTAGATGCATAAGGTTTGCTGCAACATGTTCATGGTAAACAAACTAAGTAGAGCTCTTATTTACAAATCTGGTAACAAATACTTCTGGAGGAAAAAGAGAAAAGAATTCACTAAGTTCCAGAAGACAAAGCTTTAATTGCCAGACGTATACAAACACACACTCACACACACACACCCACACAATACTTCAGGGGTTTTTATACATGTTATTTTAGGGCATAAGCTGAGTACTATACCCCCACACCCCATCAAAAAAGGAACAACAAAAAATCCCAATTTCACCCTCCCCCAGTAATCTAGAAAACCCTCCCTTCACCCCTGATGTACAAAGTGTATGCACAACGGTGGCATTCTACCAGCCACACAAAGCATGCTCAAACAGATGTCACCAGTTCAGTCACTCCATTGGCATGGCAACAGGCAGGTTTACGGGATTTTTCCCAATAGTGGTTATTACACAGTCAGCACCACTGTGAATTCTGTGAATTTGAAAAAAAAAAAAAAAAAAAAAAGTATAATTTACGGATTCAGGATTCAAAAAGAATAATTTGCATCGAATTTATCCCAGACAAAGGGAAAACTGGTTGCAACTGAAACTTGGCTATAGCTTGATGTCCCAATATTCAAACAATAAACCACCTCTCCATTTTCAAGTAAATCCAGCTTCATCCACAGAGAAACAGACAATTTTCTAACCTCAAGAGCAACCAGCTTGTTACATTTTCTCTATCCTGTGGCAGGAAATGCATATTACTTCTGTTCTGTTTAAGTATCTCAGTCTAAATGCCATGAAGACCAGAGCCCAGGTTTCTTCCCTTTCAAATTCTTAAGGTGAAAGTTTTTTCTTTTCAGTGCAGCTACCAATGATGCAGGCAAAGATCTGTTCAAACCAGCACTCATTCTACAAAGCTGCAACAATGGCCACCATGATCTTTTATAAAGCTTTCCCCGTTGCTCCTGATATTTATTTCTGCTTTTGTCTTACACTCAAAGCATCTCGTAAAAGTAATTAAAGAAAAGCACGATTCCCTTCCCCAACCGGTACTTGAAAATCCACTTATCTGAATGTTCACAGATAAAAAAATCATTAAAAAAAAAATCAAGTTTAGTCTAGCTGACCATATTCACAAGTGTTAAAAACTTTACTGGTGTATAACCTCAAGTTTCACTCTTGATTTGTTATCTATAAGAAAATGCTATTTGAGCCAGTACCAAATTAAGTATTAAACTGAGGATTGAACTGGGGCAAACAGGTTACTGTGGAAACAGTCAGTATGTAAGCTCCTTCAAGGGAAATCAACTACTATTCCTCAAGATTAAAAGATGTCCACACTCATTACATTACCTCCCTACAGGAGGAAACACCCTTTAATTTTCCCTTATGGAATCAATATGGAGTGGAAATATGAAACGGGGAGATGTTTTAGAAAGCAAGACAAATCTACCTACCATTACTGGAATTAAAATGTATCCTCTGGGCCCACTCCATTGATTCCGATCTGAGGTGAGGAGGACTAAAAGCAGCAGCAGGTTACAGATAGATTGAATAAGGTGTAAGTATGCTACGTATGTCTAGCTGGGGAAGGGGGGATCTGGAAAAAAAATCTTAAGAACTAGAATGTAGTGTCAGTCAGCATAGCTGCCGAAATCTACGTTGTAGAGGTAAACCTAGCAGAGCTAATACAAACAAGCACCTTCAAAGTTAACGTCCCACTTCCTGAGCACTGCAAAATACGACAGTGAATGCTATTGCCATTTCACCATAGGCACACTAGAGAAAAAGAGGAAGGTTAGTCAAGGGTGGTGCCAATGGCCAGTCAGTATCGGCTTACAGCTTGTAGTGCATTCTGACATCACTATCAAGCCTGACTATTGAGCACCTGTATCCAGTTGAGTCACCACCACTGTCCTCCAATTTGCATGCATGATTTGAGGGGAAGACTTTTAAAGTGTTTTAAATCATCAATAAAAAGTGGAGAAAACAAAGGTTATTCAGAGCCTGTCTCACTTGGGGACACAGATCCTTCTGTCCAGTCTATCAGAAATATAGAGTACATTTTTCAATCTAATGAATTAATTTTAAAAGGGACTCTAAACAAGAAGCCCAATCAAATGCACACAAGTAACCTAGAAGACATGATTACCTCTAAAATATGTGCGTATATCACAGAGATGTTAGTGCAGATTAATATATTAAACAGACTGTTACACAAACAATTGAGGCTGAAGTTTTAAAAGCGCCCTCCCCCCGAATCTTCACGAAACATAACCTAAGAAAAGCCCACATGTTACTAGGAATGTAAGACTTAAAATTATAAACTCCTAAAAAATAGAAGTGCATGGTGGAAACACTGATCGGTCTTTTACTATATGAACACAAACCTCTTTGTTAAAAATGGATACCTGAACAAACCCATTTAGGCAAACAGATTAATCTTTAACACCCTCATTACAAAGTTCACAACTCTGAATTTAACCATCATGAAAGAGAATGATCCAACTGCTATTTATGTTCAAGTCCTGTATTTTTGGCCATGTACTGAAAACTCCTTATTCATTCTTTAACACACAGTGCAATAGTGAAATGACTCTGCCACTGTGTGTTTTTTAAAAAAAATCAGAGTAAGCATGTTCCTAGTAAACCACAAAGTAGGATATTGAGGAAGCAAATCTAGATTAAAAGGCAGGAAAAAAAAGGCAGAAGTTAAATTTCACTAATTTTTCAATTTATTAGCATACCAGGACCCTTTAAACCTTGTTCCCATTAGCGCCTGGTATCAGATGTGAAGGATCAAACCTATGGATCTATCTCCTGACTGCTTTTATAAGGCATGCAAAAAGTCTATTATCAACTGCACACAGGCCTGCTAAAATGCCTGGTTTCTCTAGTCCCTCCTGCTTTAAGCAGCATAAGCAGTAAAGCAGGGGTTGGACCAACTAAAAAGACAAGAGCTAACTTGAATTGTATGGGAGCAGCATTTAACATATTCCTAGTCAAGGACAGGATGGGAAATAAGTGAAGAATAGGGCCAGGAAAATAGTGTCCTATAGCAGAGGTGGTCGGCACTCAGGGCAGAGTGTGCAGTGGTGCCCTACGAAGCAGCAGGATCACAAGGATGTACTTCTTATCACATTTCTATGAAGAAATGGGAAGATCGGGATATGAAAAAGAAAATGTTCTAGCCCCAAATAAAAGCAGAACATGGTTAATGGGACCTGAATGCACATTTATAGCATAGAAGAATGTCAATTCTATCTCATAAAGGAAAAATCTCAACTCTTTGTGACTGAGTTTCACATTAACTGGAACTTTATTTGCTTAAAACCCATTGTCAGTTTGAAAAGAAATCCACTGTGATGTGTAGAATGATCTCGTCGATTAAATTCTAGAGTATTTTTTTTTTTTTTTGATTCTTGGTAAAATTTTATCCAAAAAACAGGATACATATATATTTAGAGAAGGAAATATGAAATCAAGAGTGATTTCAGTTTTGGAGGCCCTTGCTTATTTATTTATTTATTTAGCTCCCTAAAGACTGTAGCAGGATAAAAGGATCACTGGCTCCGAGTCTCTTTGAGATAACAAGTGATGAAATAAAAAAGAAAGCCCACACCCTCAAATAAAGTCAGGTAACCCCACTGCCCACCCTCCCCACAAGGTAAAAAAATGAGTACTTTTAGTAACAGTTCAGAATTCATCTTTATCTCCTACCTGCCTCATCAGTGGAAGTTTAAGGTCATGATTTTTTTTAGATATTGATACTTGTGTCTATAGACAAATAAACTCTATTAGATGACAACTGATTTTTTAAAAGTCTAGGTAGAGAAAGGAGCAATCATTTTGAACTAAAATCTATGTTTTTTGATTACTATTCAACTTGCTATTTTTTAGCAAAAAGCAAAGTTTCAATAATGTTCATCTCAAATCTTATTGCTTTACAACTGTGGTATACCTTTCATTAAAAACAAAAAGATGAAGCAGTCAATCCAGTGATTAATTTGACATGGCTTTCATTGGGAAAGGGGAGGGCTGGCAAAGAGACCAATAGACAAAAAGGTAACTTAAACACTTAAACATACAATGGTTTGCTTTAAAAAAAAAAAAAAAAAGAGAGAGAGAAATGTTACTTTCAACAAATGGAAAAAAGCACTGAAAGCCCATGAGTCAAGCCATAGCCAAAACCATGTTCTATCTTAAGTAGGTTCTTTTTTTTCCTCCCTCTTTTTTCTTTTTTTTTTTTTTCTTTTTTTTTTAATAAAATCTCTCCCCAGACCATCATCACTTCTAATCCTCCCCAGACGGGGCTTCATCTTCAGACCCTTCATCCCCAGATTTCTCGGGTGGGGGGCTTGTAGATGTTTTCTTTTCTGGCGGGCTTTCTGGTTCCTCATCTTCTTCTTTGGGAGAAGGAGTCTTTTCCTTTGATGCCTTTGAAGCTGTGGGGCGACCCACTTTCCCTTTGCCTTTCACTGGACTTGGCGTCACTGAAAATAGAAAAATAATTTGGGGAAGGGAAGAGAAAAAAATGTCTTTAATACAAGTCAGCTACAAAATAAAACAATCTGTAAGAATAAAATCTATAAAGACAATACGCAACTTACTAAAAATCAAGGTGGGCACGAGGGAGCGCATATATCCCTAAGTAAATCTATCTCAATTTCTAAACTGTTCATAAGTTACTATACTATGTTGCAGTATTTCCCATCAGTTTTTACCAACACTCTATGATGTTAACAGTAATACCTGTAATGAAGAAGCACGTGCACAACATCCTTAATTGCTTGGTAAACTAACAGTTGTTTATGCTAAAAGTTGTTTATAAAAAGCAGGTCAAAAAGAGGGAAGGAAAAGAATTAATCTGATTCAGAAACTAAAGCTATCAAATAAACATTTGATAGTTCCATCATTCCTAACAGTAGGAAGTGATAAACAGAAGTTTAACAATGACTAGTTCTACCTAACAGAATAAAACCACCTACACAAAAAGCAAATTGATTTCTGATTTAGTTAACAAATTAGTTCCAACTAGGAGAACCCATTAGGGCGCAGAAAAAAATTAACTCATGTCATCAAGTGTGGTTTTATTCTGATAGCACAGAGGATGGGGCAGAGTTCAGAACATGGAACTTAAATGTATTACTCTAGGTTTGTGCATTTTCACAATTAAGTCTTTGCTGGCTGCTGAGACTGTGATACCAGTGAGGAAAAAAGAGCAGTAACAGCTATGATGATACAGCATTTCTACCACTGTGTCTGAAACAAATAGATCATTCTCTGAAATCTTGCTCAAGTACTGGCAATAGTTGAAGAACATGGCTAAGCCCACTAGACTCTTAAACAGGCTAGTGTCTTTATTAATAAGAGATACTTCCAGTTGCAGAATACAAGACCCTTTTAGATTTCTTGTATTCCTGCTAAACATCAGGTCAATGCCAAATCCTAATGAAGAATTTCTGTATTGAAAATAATGTTTCTCAAAATTTTTAAAGCAGTACATTTAATTTCACTTCTCCAGAACTTACCTGTAGCCTTTAGCCTGGGTTTCGGCATTTTCTTTTCTTTTCTTTCAGGTTTGGACTTCTTAACCATCTTTTTGTTTTTCTTTTTTGAACTGCCATAGTCACTATCATCATCATCTTCCATTAGGAAATCTTCATCGCTGCCGGAATCTTCTGAGAAGAAAGAAGAATTTCAACGTCTAACTTAATGTACGTATCCTTCCAAGTGAAAAAGGAAGAGAGTACTAAGAATGACTAGAGGGTGGGATAGGAGTCAAACACCCTTGGATTCTATTTGGAGCTGTAGCACCAATTTGACTGGAGTCATCACCAGCCTCAGTTGTCAAATGGATTTTGCATGCACCTTACATGAGAGAGTTACATGAGTGATGTGTTTGAAAAGTAGACTGAAAACAGGAAGAGTAAGAGCTGATCTGAATCAAAACTGAAACTATCAAATAACTTTTGGTAGTTCCATCATTTCCATGTAGTACTGGTTGAGACCAGGGAAACAAAACTGAACCGACAGGGCCTTTTTGGTCCAATTATGAATAAGTGAAACAAGAAAACCAAACACGAAACAAAAATACACAGAATTAACTAATCTGGGCCGGGTGCCGTGGCTCACGTCTGTAATCCCAGCCGAGGAGATTGGGAGGCCGAGGCGGGCGGATCACAAGGTCAGGAGATTGAGACCACAATGAAACCCCTCTCTACTAAAAATACAAAAAAATTAGCCAGGCTGGTGGCGGGCACCTGTAGTCCCAGCTACTCGGGAGGCTGAGGCAGGAGAATGGCGTGAACCTGGGAGGCGGAGCTTGCAGTGAGCCAAGATAGCACCACTGCACTCCAGCCTGGGCGACAGAGCGAGACTGTCTCAAAAGAAAAAAAAAAAAAAAAAAATGAACTAATATGACTAACCTGTGAAACACCTAACTTTTGTTATGAACATTTTTTTTTCTGTGAAAAGAGGTCTACAACCTCCTCCACCAGGGCAAAATACAAATCTCTATCACAGTGCCTAATGTGACTGTTACTTAAGCAACTGTTCATTCAGTGTTTGAACACAAACATCATTAAATAAAGAGTGCAACCATTACAAATGGTGGGCAATCGTGAGAATCTCTGAACCTTTAAAATATTAACAGGAAGCAACACAGTCATCTCTTTTAACAGGGAGTATCTATCCAATTTAAGGGACTGGTTGTAACATTTAGCATCCTAGAAAATGCCAAAGTAACCAAGGTCACAAACTACAATTATGATCAAACGACCAAAGTACACAAAACAACTTCACATACTCTCTTGGAACGGTGCCTCATCCTCCTCTTCTTGTTCTTCCTCACTGCCCACATCTTCCATGAGCATCTCCCTCTGTTTAGAAGCTGCTTTAGACGCCGCCTGCCGTTGCTGGCGCACGTTTTTATGATCTTCTTTTTCATCTTCACTATCCTCTGCAATATCAGAATTACCATGACATAATGATTAAAGAATTTTGTATTTGACAAGATAGTGCAAAAGATTAATAATTGACTGAAAATGTAACTGACTGAAAAAGCCAACATAGTGGCCAATATAGGATATAATCTGCAGCTTTATTTCATTGTAAAAGGGCAAATTCTATCCTTCATTTCTGCAAAATGATGGAATCAACTCAAATGCCCATCAATGATAGACTGGATAAATAAAATGTGGTACATACACACCATGGAATACTATGCAGTCATAAAAAGGGAAGGAGATCATGTCCTTTGCAGGGACATGGATGGAGCTGGAGGCCATCATCCTCAGCAAACTAATGCAGGCACAAAAGACCAAACACTGCATGTTCTCACTTAAAAGCGAGAGCTGAACAATGAGAACACATGGACACAGGGAGGGGAACAACACACACTGGAGCCTGTGGCGAGGGAGGGGGCAGGGTAGGGGGATGGAGAGGGAGAGCACTAAAAAATAGCTACTGCATGCTGGACTTAATACCTAGGTGATGGGTTGATGGGTGCAGCAAATCACCATGGCACACATTTACCTATGTAACAAACCTGCACATCCTGCACATGTATCCCAGAACATAAAATAAAAATTAAAAAAAAATTCTACAAAATATATAAAGGAGGACCTAAATTCATAAAGAATGAGCTTGGACAAGACTATGTACCCACTAATACATATAAAGCAACAAAGACATGTAATTTTAAGCAGTAGCTAAGCTGAATTAAAGCGTGAACACATAACTCCTATACTTTAAAGTTACATCACTGCTTTGCTCTAAAATTATCAATTACATTCAAATCTATGTTCACTGTTTTTAAAAGCTAGTTAGAAAAATATCTTAACATAGTATGAGAGGGAAAGAAGAATGTCTTCCAATAATCTTTATTCTAAGACATAAAACATGAAAACCCTAAAATAATGTCAAACTGTTATCCTTTATAATGAATGGCTTGTGACCATTTCAATTTAGAGGGGATTGAGGAAAATCTTTTTTTTTTTTTTTTTTTTTGGAGACAGAGTTTTGCTCTTGTTGCCCAGGCTGGAGTGCAATGGCGCAATCTTGCCTCACCGCAACCTCCACCTCCCGGGTTCAAGCGATTCTCCTGCCTCAGCTTCCTGAGTAACTGGGATTACAGGTGCGTGCCACCATGCCCGGCTGATTTTGTATTTTTAGTAGAGACGGGGTTTCACCATGTTGGTCAGGCTGGTCTCAAACTCCTGACCTCAGGTAATCCACGCTCCTTGGCCTCCCAAAGAGCTAGTATTACAGGCGTGAGCTACTGTGCCCGGCTGGAAAATCTTTAAAATACATATTTAGATCAACTAGTGAAAGATGTTTGGAGAAGCCTATAAAAAATTTACTTTCACATATTCTTAGAGTCTATTAATTAAAAATAATATATATATATATTTTAAATTTGGAGTCTCACTCTGTCACCCAGATTGGAGTGCAGTGGCACAATCTTGGCTCACTGCAGCCTGTGCCTCCTGGGTTCAAGCTATTCTCCTGCCTCAGCCTCCTGAGTAGCTGGGACTACAGGCACGTGCTGCCATGCCTGGCTAATTTCTTGCTGTTGTTGTTGTTTGTTTGTTTTTTAAGATGGAGTTTCGCTCTTCTTGCTTAGGCTGGAGTGCAATGGGGGGATCTTGGCTCGCTGTAACCTCTGCCTCCCAGGTTCAAGTGATTCTCCTGCCTCAGTCTCCTGAGTAACTGGGATTATAGGCACCCGCCACCACGCCTGGCTAATTTTTTAAAGTTTTAGTATAGAAGGAGTTTTGCCATGTTGGCCAGGCTGGTCTTGAACTCCTGACCTCAGGTGATCTACCGGCCTTGGCCTCCCAAAGTGCTGGGATTACAGACATGAGCCACTGGGCTCAGCCATATTTTTGTATTTTTGATAGAGACAGGGTTTTGCCATGTTTGCCAGGCAGGTCTTGAACCCTTGACCCCAGGTGATCCACCCGCCTTGGCCTCCCAAAGTGCTGGAATGGTGGGCATGAGTCACCATGCTCAGCCTAAAAAAAGCTTTTTTAACACACAGTTGTGTTTGTGAATAAATTTGGTTAAAGGGTAGGCTGCCAGCCTATTGCCTCTGGAGTAAACCATATTTGCATTAGTCTCTACCTACAGCCCTTCTCCTGAAGTTTTAGGCTCCCTTATTCTGTCAAGGTTAAGTGGTCACTCTTCTGAAAACACTTCTAGTCCTATGAGCCTTGCCATGGTCAGTGTTCAAGTCATCTCTTTCACTTTTAAAAATCTCATCTAGAGACAAACAGAATAAAGCTGACATGGCAGACCCAAAACTAAACCCACTTGGTAGAAGCTTAGTTTAATACTAGTACAGAGTTATTTATCCAGAAGTACTCAATAAACTAGCAAGTGTAAGAGATTCAAATTAGGATTTACAAGGCAAATGAGTGAAAGCATGTACTATATTATCACAGGATCACCAGATAGTGCAAAATTGATTAATATAGTTTCTTTTCAACTTAGGTAGCCAGATAGTATACTTGAACAGACGGGAAAGCAAAACAGCCAAGCAGAGTGAATTTAGCTGAACTTTGTCTCTCCCCTTTGTATTAGCTAAACAGCAGTCTCATTTAAAGGGAGATCCAGGGAGACAACAGCAAGGGAATGCAAGTGAAAACTAACATGGCTGGAAGTAATATGGATTAAAAATCTCAATTCTTACAAGATTAAATTTAAAAATAAATACCAAGAGCAAGTAGAATCATCAGGACTGAACATTTTATTTGGCCATGGAAACTCCGCATTAATTCATATTAATTCTTTTAAGTTAAAATTTTTACAAAAAAAGCTTTCTCTATGGCTACTGTTTCAAAAGACTATGTCTCCGCTAGAAACAGTGGGAATGAAACTTTCATTTGCTTTTCCACCCAGAGTCCACCACTCCCCCTTTTTAACGCCTCTATTTTACCAAGTTTTATATTTATATATTATTCTATTTAGTCTGATGTCTTTTGTTTATGTAAATGATTTCTAATATTGACCATGCATAATAATGTGTAGATACTTAAAGAAAACCAAGCCCCAACATCCCACTGAGATCTATTTAATCAGAAATTTTGGGACAGGACCCAGAATATGCATTTTTAAAAAGATTCATAGATGACTGTAATAAGCCACCAGGACTGAGAATCATTAGGAGCTCTTTGAAGATGGAAACATCTTTGTAATCCCAGATTTGCAACAGTACCTGGCATACAAATCGCTTATTAAAACATCTAATAAAATAATATATAAATAGCATTATACCTCTTACATTTAAAATAGTTTACTACCTGCTGAGTGAGAATCATCCTTCTTGGTCTTCACATCTTTGTCTTCTGAGTCCTCACTATAAAGGGAGGCAAAAAAGCAAATGCATGTAAGTCTTAGCTCAAAATTTAAGTGAACACAGATCTCTGATTTCTGACTTGAGAAGTGAAAAATACCTCTTCTATATAAAATGTTCAAACAAATGCTAAGGAATACTTTATTTCCTTACTTTACAGGGATGCTGGTGAACAGGCACAATTTTATCTACGTTACAAACTACTGCTTCCAAAGACTCAAAGGAAAAAAAGAAGGTGTCTCAACACAGGCTGGAATTTTTTCACCTACGGACAAAGCTTGGTTCACAAGAATATTTAATAAGAAAAATATTTATTGAATAGAGGCAGAGTATAAAATAGTAAAATACTAAAAGATCACTAAATATACATGTGAAAAACTGCTAAAATATCTAAAATTATTAAAAGGAATTGTAGTCCGGGCATGGTGGCTCATGCCTGTAATCTCAGCAGTTTGGGTGCCTGAGGTAGGCAGATCGCTTGAGGCCAGGAGTTCAAGACCAGCCTGGGCAACATGGTGAAACTCTGTCTCTACTAAAAAATACAAGTATTAGCTGGGTGTGGTGGTACATGGTTGTAATCTCAGCTACTCAGGAGGCTGAGGCAGGAGAATCACTTGAACTCGGAAGGTGGAGGTTGCAGTGAGCTGAGATCACATCATTGCACTCCAGCCTGGGAAACAGAGCGAGACTCCATCTCAAAAAAAAAAAAAAAAACCAAAAACCAACCAGAAACAGGAATTGTAGTTCAGTTATCTAACTTACAATATGCCTAAAAATGTACCTAAAACAAAATGGAAAATAAATTGATTGAATTATCCCCTATTAATATTTCCTTCCAATATTTCTTTGCATCAGAAACATCAACATATAGTCCTGCCTGGTGGTACCATGGAGAAAATAAAAGTGAGCTCAAAATCACTCTCCAAAGTAAAATAAGATGTTAAGGAGCTTCAAAGCTCAATGGGAAGTTTTTAAAAACAATTTTTAGTCACAACCTAACACATTATGTCTTCATAAGTCTTAACTCCAGAATCTGGATTCTAGTATCCTATCTCTCTGTTAATTTACGTATTTTTAAAAATAGAGATGGGGTTTCACCATGTTGCCCAGGCTGGTGTCAAACTCCTGAGCTCAAGTGATCCACCTGTCCTGGCCTCCCAAAGTGCTGGGATTATAAGTGTGAGCCACCATACCCAGCCCCTAGTAGTCTATCTCTTTGTCATTAGTTAGTTGTATGAGCTTAGGCAAATCATTTAGTATTCTTCAGTGCTACAATTTTATGATTCCATGCAAAATTCTGAAGAACAAAAACCAAAAACTCGCACATAAAAACTGCCTTCAAAGTTTTCCTTTCTCAAATAGCAGGTCTTATAATTATTGGTATTCCCCATACTCTAGACCACACTCAAATGAGAAAATACTGAATCCATGATTCCTAAGCAAAGAGAATGATCAAACATATTCCTTTACTAAGCAACTTGAATCCAAGACACTTTATAATTCTGAAATCTGTGACTGTTCTGTATAAATGTTTTTTATGCAAAATAAGCACCAAATTCATAATTCTAACACAATGATGAATTATATTATTTTTTCTACCTCTTTTATTGAGTTTATAGACTACATTAATCTTTGAGCACCACTACAGCAAAATTAAGTGAAGGCTGAACTTTGAAAACAGAAAAATCAACAGAGTGCTGGTCTGAGAATAAATACACAAGGCATACAGATAGGAATAAAACCTATATTTATTTCAATCCTTCCAGCACTTAGAATAATAAAATCAAATGACTGCAACAAGAAAAACTGTAAGCTAGAAGTTAATTATGTAAATGAGACATTATAACATGCCACAAAGCAGGTCTTTCCTAGGAGAAATAAGATAATGAACATAATGAAAAATAGTTCTGAGTTGGGCTGCCATATAAAACTGTTTGGCCGGGTGAGGTGGCTCATGCCTGGAATCCAGCACTTTGGGAGGCTGAGGTGGGTGGATCATGAGGTCAGGAGTTCAAGATCAGCCTGGCCAACACTGTGAAACCTCATCTCTACTAAAAATACAAAAAGTAGCTGGGTGTGGTGGCGGGCGCCTGTAATCCCAGCTACTCGGGAGGCTGAGGCAGGAGAATCACTTGAACCCGGGAGGCGGAGGTTGCAGTGAGCCGAGACCATACATACCATTGCACTCCAGCCTGGGTGACAGAGTGAGACTGTCTCAAAAAACAAACAAAAAACTATTTTAGGCTAGGCATGGTGGCTCACACTTGTAATCCCTGCACTTTGGGACGCTGAAATGGGAGTATTGTTTGAGCCCAGGAGTTTGAGACCAGCCTGGGCAACATGGCCAGAGCCCATCTCTATTAAAAACAAACAACAACTATGTTAGACATACACCAAGAAGCTCTAGATGGCTTGTTTCCAAACAGTATAATTCTGTATTATTTTTCCTTAAAAGCACATTTCTGAAATGCTCCAGCAAAAAAAAGTATTAGAGGTTGTCAACATAAATAAAACTACTAGGTAAATATATGAATTTAATAATGATTTTGGTGCTCCAAGATTCTTAGGAGAACTAGTGAGAAATATTTCATTTATTTGAACTGCTCATTTGTAACAGTATTATTTGGAAGCAGTATAGAGCTCTAATGGTTAAAAAATGTACTTTGGAGTCCAACAGACATGGTTTCAAAACCTGTTTGTCCATTTGCTGGATAACTTTGGTTAAATCACAGAACCCCTCTAAGTTAATATTTACCCAAATAGAGATGTTGTGAGAATTAAATGATAGTGTATGTAAAACACATAATAGAGATTGTCACATACTAATCATAAACAGTAGCCATCATCATCACTATAATCACCATTATCACCAAGAAGGTCTTAAAGTTACATTATACCGAGTTTGAGAGTGTGTATACCTTTACTAAGCGGACAGAAATTACAATATCCTGTTCCCCCCGCCCCCCCCCCCCCCCCCGAGACAGTCTTGGCTCTGTCACCTGGGCTGGAGTGCAGTGGTGCAATCATAGCTCACTGCAGCCTTGAACTCCTGCGCTCAAAGGATCCTCCTGCCTCGGACTCCTGAGTAGCTGGGACTACAGGCAAGTGCCACCATTCCCGGCCAAATTTTATATTTTTGTGTAGAGACGTGGTCTCCTTATATTGCCCAGGCTAGTCTCAAACTCCCGGCCTCAAGCGATCCTGCTACCTAGGCCTTCCAAAGTCCTGGGATTACAAGCATAAGCCACCGTGTCCTCCTAATATCCTGGTCTTATGAGGCAAAATTATAGTTAAAATCACAACTCATTTGTAAAATGAAGGGAAAAGAAACTCTCCAAAATGGTTAAATTATTTAAACAAAGGAGAATTGATTATGAGACAGCAAAATGCAGCAGGCTATACAACTTAAGATTCTACAAGCTTTAGTTATAATTGTGCCAGTGATTTGTGACTGAATGGGATATACCACTTCTTTTTTGTTATCACTACAATGAAAGTGTCAATATTAACCTTAGATAACAAGTTACATACTCAAGCACAGCCTGAGATAATATGAAATATGCAAAATATTAAGTGGACAGTAAGTACTTTTCAAAAGTATGAGATTCCAACAATTTAGAGATCAGAGACTACTCTCATCTCAGAGCGGTGACAATGTAAGCAGGAACAGAAAAACAATGCCTCTTACCTATCTTCCTGTGAATTCTTTCCAGATCGCCTCTTATTTTTAGCTTCTCGGGGAGATGATCGAATTTTCTTAGTGGGAGGGCCCGAATCTCTTCCATAATCTTCATCTAAACAGTGTTTTTCAAACTTAATTAACTATGATTTTTGCATGTTAAAATCACCACTATATTTACTGACACAATTATCTCATGCTGTTTAAATGGTGAGAGGAGCAGGATTTCCCAAATAGTTTCTTTCAGTTTTAAAAAACTAAATTATTTCCAAACCAAGTCCTATCACCTTAACTTCATTTTTGCATATTACCCTCTAGTCCTTATGATATATATTTCATCTATTTTTAGCTAAGCCTCTCTTATCATTTTATACCCTCCCCTTCTGATTTCAACATCTTCACACTTACTTGAAAATTATCGTAATATGGTTGTATTACCAACATTTCAGGAAGTAAACACAATTACTATTACTAAGCAAATTACTTTTAAACTAAAGTATTAAATACAACATAATCTTGCATTTGAAGAAAATATTTCCAATTTCAAAAGCCCTATAAAACTAACGAAAATGACTCTACCTTAAAAGGAAATTATTTCCAAAACTGTTTACTGCACCATTCACACTCACACACACACGATGGCGAGATGCTGGAAGCAGTCCAGAGCATCAGCAATTATTAAGTGGTCAGAAACATTATAAATTCCATTATGGGATATTATATAACCATTGATAGGAATTTTCCAAATACCTTTTAATAACATAAAATACTCAAAATAAAAATAACAGTATATCACATATTAACAGGATTATTCTAAGTAAATATGAAATACAAACATTTGAAACAATTCCTGACATGTAGCAAGCATTTAATAAATATTAGTGCTACACATTACTTTTTTTTACTCTTCTTTGTATCTTTCAGTATTTTCTAAGTCTTCCCAAAGGGCACATATTATCTTTATAAATAAAAGTTAGAATAAGAAGAAAGAAAAAAGAATAGTAAACATATCTGGAAAGTAGTGAGATTAAGGAGACAACTCTGAAAAAACCTCTTACGACTAACACTTAGCTACAACACTCATTCTGTGATGAATTAGTTCACAAATCAAAGCTGTTTCACAAAACAGACTCTCATCTTAGTTGCTTTATTATGTAAAAACATAATACAAGGCACAAGTTTTATTGTAATAACAGCAGGAGCTTTTTTTCCCCCTGCAAAGTGCTGGGATTATAGGTGTGAATCACTGTGCCTGGCTTGTAGAATAATGTTTTTTTTTTTTTTTCAGACAGGGTCTCTCTGTTGCCCAGGCTTGAGTGCAGTGGTGCCATCTCGTCTCACTGCAACCTCCGCCTCCTGAGTTCAAGGGATTCTCCTGCCTCAGCCTCCAGAGTAGCTGGGATTACAGGCGCATGCCACCACTCCCGGCTAATTTCTATATTTTTAGCAGAGATGGGGTTTCACCATGTTGGCCAGGATGGTCTGGAACTCCTGACCTCAACTGGTCCGCCCACCTTGGCCTCCCAAAGTGCTGGGATTACAGGCGTGAGCCATGGCGCCTGGCTGACAGCAGGAGATATTTTAAGTAATGAACACTATATCAGAATTACTGGACATTTAAACTTTGGACTCCAAAACCAAGTAAGAAAAAAATGGTTTAATGTTTATTATAAATGATTTACCATGGAAAAGTTAAAATCCATGTAAGTTCAACTTTTGCTTTGGTTGACACAGATCATGACACGGTTTTGGTAAATACTCTAAAATAAAAAAGTAAAACTTATTCCAAAAGCATAATAAAAGTATATAAGCTGGTAACCTCCACTGGTTCAACTTACAATTTGTTGAAACCATAAAACTTACCTGCATCATCGGATTCCTGAAACTGTGAGTAATCAACAACCTTCCTATTTCTGTAGAAAGAAGAGACTCCAATTAAAATCATAAAACTGTAGGATTTTTCTAAGACATCAGAACACACATTTCTCTTTCATAAACAGAACTGAAGTAGCTCTTTGAAAACTATTTAATTGCCGGGCATGGTGGCTCACACCTGTAATCCCAGCACTTTGGGAGGCCAAGGCGGGCGGATCACCTGAGGTCGGGAGTTCGAGATGAGCCTGACCAACACAGAGAAACCTCATCTCTACTAAAAACACAAAATTAGCCAAGCGTGGTGGCACATGTCTGTAATGCCAGCTACTTGGGAGGCTGAGGCAGGAGAATCGCTTGAACCCAGGGGGTGGAGGTTGTGGTGAGCTGAGATAGCTCCACTGCACTCCAGCCTGGGCAACAAGAGTGAAACTCCGTCTCAAAAAAAAGAAAAAGAAAATTATTTAATTAATTTTTTGAGACAGGGTGTCACTCTGTCGCCTAGGCTGGAGAGCAGTGGCACAATTATGGCTCACGACAGCCTTGACCTACTGGGCCCAAGTAATCCGCCTGCCTCAGCCTCCTGAGTAGCTGGGACTACAGACGCATGCTGTCTAATTTTTTTCATTTTTTGTAGACAGGGTCTCCCTGCATTGCCCAGGCTGGTCTCAAACTCCTAAGCTCAGGCAGTCATCCTGCCTCAGCTCCCAAAGTGCTGGGATTACAGGCACGAGCCACTGCACCCAGCCAAAAAGTATTTTTTAAGGGCCCCCACTTCTCAAGCCAAAATACTTAACTTTCTGTTACAAGAAAGCCTAGTGTAAACCACAAGTATGTCAAGCTACAATTCTCATACTGCTCATCTCAGTGATAATTCCAATACCATTCTTTTCTTCTCTTTTTTTTTTTTTTTGAGATGAAGTCTTGCCCTGTCGCCCAGGCTGGAGTGCAATGGCAAGATCTCAGCTCACGGCAACCTCTGCCTCCCAAGTTCAAGTGATTCTCCTGTCTCAGTCTCCCGAGTAGCTGAGATTACAGGTAACCGCCACCATGCCCGGCTAATTTTTTGTATCTTTAGTAGAGACAGGGTTTCACCACGTTGGCCAGGCTGGTCTTGAACCCCTGATCTCGTGATCTGCCCGCGTTGGCCTCCCAAAGTGCTGGGATTACAGGCATGAGCCATCGCGCCTGGCCTCAAATACCATTCTTTTCTACAAAACAATCTCCCATCTCTCCAAACAAATATACATAAAACAGCAAAATGAACCAAATCACCATGTACCTATATATTCATTATATACAAAGATACCATATTTATAAGCTAACATTGTAAATGATATCTTACTCTTACTGCTACACACATATATATGTATACTTGATAAACAAGGTTATTACTAAGCTTTTCAAGGCAAAGGCAATTTTTAGGTATAGTACAGTTACATTATAATGCACAAAAATTATGGTAATGTTAAGCCTTATACAGAAGGGGAAGGAAACAAATTAATTGGTCCAGTCAAAAGATGCTTTATTTAAAAAACTATGAAAGCCTCACAAATTTATGTATATCTATGTATTTGACTTTATTCTTTTGTTTCTAAACTTTTTTTTCCTTTTCCAATTTTACAGACCTGGTTTATCAGCAGCATTTTATAAAACTAGACCTAGGGAAATAACTAGTTCTGGGGATATATGCATGATCTTAATAAAGTGAATGGTTAGCCTGTCCTATTATAAAATCAAAACAGTGAGAATATTTGCACAATCTATTTGACTCTAAATGATTTTAAGTACTCCCTAGCAAGTAAGGTACCTTTAACATCTCAAACAAAGCTTCATTTCTATTTTTGTACTTTGCATTCTAAATCTAAAAGTTTAATACTCCTTCTCTAGAGAGAGATAGATATATGCTTCCATGTTAGTACCCAAACAGCCTGCCTGGCAAAAGAGCCTTAGATTAAAAAATGTACTTTTACTGTAGGCCTAACTCAATCAAGTGAATTTAAAAAATTAAGAGAAATATATGCTACCACCTATACTTAAACCTGAGCAGAGGGATATTCTTGGTTGTACAGATTAAGACATCATTTAAATTCAAAGACAGGATGGTCAGAATGCAAACACTGGTCCACCTTCTAGTACAGTATGTGGAGATGATATGGATGGAGGTGAATTATGGAAAAAATGGCTTGGGCTTATATGTAGAGGAAGATATAGTTACGTACTCAGCATTAGAAAGAGAAAAAAACAAGGCTCTTACGGAGTTCCACCTTCTGTTTTTCTTTAGTTTAATCACAACCATTAAATATACTCCAACTATATATTTTATTGTAAGAAGCTGAGTTTATATTACCAAAGATACCGTATTATTAGGGAAGCTAACTTTAAATATGACCATTAATTCCATATACATGAGGGACCTAGAGTAGATGAATTCTAGAGACACAAAGTAGAGTGGTGGTTGCCAGAGGCTAGAAGAGTGGGGATGAGGAGCTATTGTTTAGTGGGTTTAGTTTCAGTTTTGCAAGATTAAGAGTTCTTTACAACAATGTCAAATACTTAACAGTACCGAACTATATACTTAAAAATGGTTAAGATGGGCCAGGCGTGGTGGCTCGTGCCTGTAATCCCAGCACTTTGGGAGGCCAAGGTAGGCGGATCACAAGGTCAAAAGATCGAGACCATCCTGGCCAACATGGTGAAAATCCGTCTCTACTAAAAATACAAAAATTAGCTGGGTGTGGTGGTGCGTGCCTGTAAGTGCCATCTACTCGGGAGCATGATGCAGGAGAATTGCTTGAACCCAGGAGGCAGAGGTTGCAGTGAGCAGGGATCGCACCACTGCACTCCAGTCTGGCAACAGAGCGAGACTCTGTCTCCAAAAAAAAAAAAAAAAAAAAAAAAAAAGGTTAAGATGGTAAATTTTCTGCTAAGCATATTTTATTACAATAAAAATATATTTTCTTTCTTAAAAATATGACTATGAAAAAATCTAATATTTTTGGGCTAATATGGAAATGCCTGCCATGTTCTGGCAAAACAGTGATTTTTAATGACAAATGCCATGAAAAATAGCATGATGATGATAATGCAAACATGACCATTTTCTGTATTATTTAGGATTAAAAAAAAGGAGGGTCATGGAAACAGGGGAAGGACGGTATCTAGAAGAGGAACTCTTACATCTTATCCTCTAATAATTAACATACAGGTTCTGAACTTGTAGGTATAATTCTAGCTTATCTCATGCTTGTGGGGTGGCAACTAACAGTATTACCCAGTTTCTGGGTACAACGTAGCAATAGATATATCCTATGAAACTATATAAGAATGGACAATCAGAATGGTAAATGATATATGAAGTACAAATGAATAAATTGAGAATATTTAACTTGTAAAATGGGAAAACATGTTAGCTACTTTAGGGCTTTGATGTGAAAGGAGTAGTAGAGGTACAGCTGAGCTTCAGCAATCCACATTAAGTGTAGGTTTGACATAAAGAGCTTTAACTGTTTGCTAACAATGGCTACTTCCTTACTCTATCACTAGAAACACTCAAGAAAGGTATTAATACAGAATCTTTGTACTAGGAATCCTGGGTTCTGGTTCTAGAATGTCAAGAACATCATGTAATTCCTCTGGGCCTTACTTAGTTCTTCCTCTGTTGGAACTGATAACCTAAGTTGCTTGACAAATTTAAAAGATATTCTACACAATTAAATAAGTTTAAATAATAAATTAAATAATAAATATTAAATTAATAAATATAACGGTTGGCATTATATTAAAATATAATACAGAAAATGGTCATTGCAAATGATCATACTGCATTATGATCACAATACTGTTTTTCATAGTATCTGTCATTAAAAATTAACTGCCCTTCACAACAGAAAACTTAATCTCCTTATCTATCTAGACAGACCTACCTACCTATCTTCCATCCATCCATCCATCCATCCATCCATCCATCCATCCATCCATCCATCCATCGAGACAGGGTCTTGTTCTGTCACCCAGGCTGGAGTGCAGTGGCACAATCATAGCTCACTGTAGCCTCCAACTCCTGAGCTCAAGTGATCCTCCCACCTCAGCTCCTGGAACTACAGAAAGGCACACAGCCACCATGCCTGGCTAATTTAAAAACAATTTTTTTTGGAGAGACGGGGCCTTTCTATGTTTCCCAGGCTGGTCTCAAACTCCTGGCCTCAAGCAATCATCTCGCCTTAATCTCCCAAAATGCTGGGATTACAGCTGTGAGGCCTGGCCTGTAACTTGTTACTTTAAACCTAAGACATTAAAAAGGATACTTTTTATTTAGTACATTTTTTTTCTATCCTACTTTTCAACAAACAGAACTACAGAAATGCCATGTAGACTATATTGACATTATATAAAAAATTAAATTTCAAAATTAAATTGAAAGACTATCCCCCTTCCATTGAAATACAAAATATTTTAACTTTCAATGATCTGAAAACAGCCAGAATTATCTCATACAATGCCATTTATCACAAAAACCATAAAATCAGTGTAAAGCAAATTCTGAATATAGAAGCAATTCTGCCTTATTAAGGACAATCAGTCAGAAACAAATATAGTCATCCATAAATGCTAAAGAGGGAAAAGATAAAATAACTTAAATAAATAAAAGATCTGTGATAACAAGGGCCATTCATGATGACTCATAATGACTCATAATAATTTGGTTCAGGCCGGGCTCAGTGGCTCACGCCTGTAATCCCAGCACTTTGGGAGGCCGAGGCGGATGGATCACCTGAGGTCAGGAGTTCAAGACCAGCCTGACTAACATGGAGAAACCCCATCTCTACTAAAAATACAAAAAATTAACCAGGTGTGGTGGCGGTCGCCTGTAATCCCAGCTACTTGGGAAGCTGAGGCACGAGAATCGCTTGAACCTGGGAGGCAGAGGTTACAGTGCGCCAAGACTCTGCCACTGCACTCCAGCCTGGGTGATAGAGTGAGACTCCATCTCAAAAACAAAAAACAACAACAACAAAAAGTTTCATTTCCCAAACAATGT